CGACACATACGATGTATACTTGTATATATACTGTATGGATATGTATATATTTCTGTATATAATGTATAAGCTTACTTCCGTGTAAAAGAAGCTCACCGCCGCGCTTTGCCCAGAAATTGTAGTCAAGAAATTTCGAAATGTGAACCCCAGAGCCTATGGCTGACTTTTTGCCGAAACTATGAGTCAATCAGTGAGATATATAATTGAAACTCGGGTAAATGTTTTTGTTTTAATACTATACCCATGTGTCAAAAATGGGTTGAATCGGATTCATACTTCGCTTAGCCCCTACATACATAGTATAAAGATTTTCGAACTTCTAATTGACTTTAAACCACATAAACCCGCCAATGTGGAAGTTAATTTAATGAAATTGAGAAAGCGTGTTTTTCTAATAACAGTGTATCTTTGTGAAAATGGATAACATCGGCCAAGAACTTACCTCAGCCCACATATAAATGGTATTCACGATTTGAAAATGTCCGGCTGACTTTACTCCATATATATGTTTATATTAATAAAGTTTATTGAAAATAAGTTCCCAAGTATACCTGAGCAATGTCGAAAATTAATGCCATCAATCCATTTTCCTGCGCCTAATATTAAATATCCCATATAATGATTTCCGACTTTCCACCTGAATTTAAACCATTTAAATGTGTAATATTATATTTTAATGAGATGAAGGGTAAACGTGTTCTTAAAAGTCATTAAATTATATTATCTCTAACATTGTGAGTATCAATCAATATATTAAATTTAACATCTTCGGTTGACTTTATATAACATACATCTCATTGCAATAGAATAAAATGTTTGGTTACATTTGAACTTAGCTGTTCCCTACTTGTTTTATTTGTCATTGTTTTAACTGCTAATTTTAAATTTAAAAAATTAATTATTAATAAATATATCACAAAATATGATTGCTTAAAATCATGTCTTATTTTTTTATTATGGTCAGATCAAACTACAGTTTTCACTTGAATACCTTTGAAATCAATTGAATTATATTGTAGTATTATTATTTTATAACTGAATTTATAATCAAAGATTCGGGGTCCAGTATTGTGCAGGAACGGATTCGAACCGGAAAAGTTTTTCTTCTAATCTATATCTGTGAAATTAAATCAACCAGAAATTTCTTCAAATATTTGATTATAATATTTTGTTCGACAAACAATAGATCTCATATTTTCTTACTTACATATATAGTATATACAAGTAAGTAGTATTATATATAAAATTATTGTATACTAGAAGAGTCGGCTACGTGTTTTTGTGGCTAAGGTATACATTATATTATGTTATGGTAATTTTTCCAATACAGTAATAATATTCTTGCACATAAAGACGAAAACTTTATAGCCAAAATTTAAAATGATTGATATGAATTTTATTAAATCTCTATTAAGGGCAGATCAACATAAAATTATTAATTTTGTATTTTATTAATCCTATATTTGAGTTTGTAACCAATGAGTGAATTACAAACTGGTAAGTTGATTATTTTATATATTAGTTAAAAATTTCGTACGACTAGAATTGCTAACTATTAAAAATTAATACAATGTTTTAGTCTACATTAGTTTTTTAGCCCTTAAAATTGAATGCAAATCCGTTGGAATCATTGGTGTATGCTGGATCAAGGCATCCTTTCCTTTGCATTTTCTATTGATAATCTTAACTTCGATGCCGTTATTCATTGACTTTTACTTATCCTATTTTTAATCACAAATTATGTGGTGGTAGTACAAGCAATTCCAATGTAATTAAAAATTCTGTGGGATAGTTGACTACGTCATTCTGGTTTTAGCTGTATCAACTGGTTTGTAAGTAAAAAACTCTGCTGGAGGGATATTCTGAGAGGTTGCATTGAGATCATCGACATCTTTGTTTTTTGCTGCTTCTATTACTCGGTCACTCAGCCAATTTTTGTTACTACTTGTATATTGTTGTTTTACGATAATTTGTCCATATCTAGTAACTGCTCCGAAAACACAATCGTAGTTTGATCTTGATGCAAAATCACTCGCATGGTGTCGTTAACTGGAGTTTTTTTACGTGTCGCCACAAATTAAATGACTTTAGGCATGCGTTTAATTCGTCAGCAACAGTTGACGCCAGAACGCCAGAACTGGGAGAGTCTGTCATCTGACAACAGAATTATGACCAATGCCTTTAGCGACCTCTTGTGCGCCATTGTGCATTCATCCCAACTTATCAATTTGCATATCTGGGAATCTTCGTCACAGCGATATTTTTGGCCATGTTGCAAACTGGTGTTATGTTGAATTGCAGGTTTTTGTGATGCTTCAGTTCATTTAATTGTGGAACAGTTATGGGAACTGTTGCGTCTAGTATTTCAATTTAAATAATTCATCTTGCATAAAACGATTGGGTGCTGTCAGGCCTAAACAGGAAAATATTTTATTTGCCATCAATAAACACATTTCTTCTGTCATGATCAATGTCCCATTGTAAGTTTCCACAGTAATTTATCGTGTAAGAAAGTTTGCAACGCACACGACGTAATACATCCTCAGGCATGTCACCCCTTAGCTCCATCTACAAATCTTCCGGATTCGGGGGTAAACATGTCGCTATTACATTTGCTGTATACAGTACATAGTTGACACGCCCAACGACAGTCGGAAAATTTGAAAATGTTCTCAAATTTAATAACGTTATAATGTTTACCAAATAACAGTTAACTTTATAAGTTTTCGTGTGACGTTCTACAGATGACTAAAGTATAAAAATCTACAGAAAATTATCATTAAATATATTTTTTTATGCCATTAAAAGAGATATTGTGCGTGCGAAGCAGCAAAGTTATTTTTTTTTTACATTTGAATCATGATTCAATTACATACATATATGAAGGCTGCGTTACTTCGAAATCGAACAACAGTCGTCAATGTATTTCAATTCAATGACAAAAATGTCTTAACAACAATTGCAACCTTCAAAATATTAGTAACATGCTTTTTTTTGTAATTTATGTTGTCAACTCAAACAAAATTTTATCTTCCGAGAACGATTACCCTTATATTCGATATATAAGGGATTTCGAGAATCGTGTGCATCTCTTTTATTCACTTTTTTTTCGAACTACATTATTTGAAGCCTAACATTTTCTTTTGTTTTTTAATAGTTATCCCTTCTTAATCCTTTATTTAGGGTTTAAAGAGTACATTGGTCATTTAAAATGGATTTCATCCATCATTCATAATCTCGCTTAACTTTAATACACTTAGTCCAATGATCCTCCAATAATTTTATGCCATCCATCCAAGTGTCATCCATAGTTATAAAAAGACGAACGAAATCGGTTTTATTCTGCTTAAAATGCTAAAAAATTTGCAAAGAAATTTGTTTTCGATTTAGATTTAACTTTTCAAACAACTTTTTCATATATAATTCTCCATGTAAAATATGAAGTACTTATTCGTCTGAGATGGCTATGGCATTAGCAATTTCACGCTTAGTCAAACTTGGATCTTCATGCACAATATTATGAACTTGTTCAATGATTTCTGGTGTGGTTTCGAATTTTGGTCGTCCTTCGCGTGGATCGTCTTCGACGGTGCGTTTTGAAGGTGAGGACTCCTTATATACTTCTAACAATTGTCATAAATTTCGTTTACTTTTAAACCTGTCAAAACAAAGAATCTAATCACTGCGCGAAATTCAATTTTTCCCATATTAAAAAAATTCCCTGGTTGACAGAATGACATGTATCTTTTCATGTGTTCTCACGACAGATGTACCAACTTGAGAAAAAAGATTTGGAGCTGGTAGTGCCATTTCTTGGTAAGACCAACCAACTTTTCAACCAACCTGTAGTTTAAAACTTTTATTAGCAAAACTTAAGCTAAAATAATTTGAATATCACAAAAATTTACCGCAATGTTTGGTAGAATGTCCAATATTCAGTACATTGAGGGCTAGAAAACAAATGTAATGGACGTAATGGAAGTATTTCAAGGCAGATGATGATGTCAGAGGTTGTGCATAATCAACTTTATATAACATTGGCCTCTTTTCAATTCTAATAATTTGAATATTACCGTTAAAAGGGAAGTGGGTGATAAAGCCACGGCGCTTTGAGGTTTACGCCACCAGTCTTCTTATTGGTTTATACATAATTAACAGAAAAATGCTCTAAGGTTAGGCTTGATATCACAATGCTTAAACCGATTACCATATAAAAGGCCTCCCCACACAACTCAATCCGTAAAAAAGCTAAACAAGATATACCATTATTGATACCATTTATTATTATTATTGTCTACGAGCGGTAGCCTGCGAGAAAATGAATAACTTTTTGTCCTTAAAAATACCAATAATTGCATGGTGATTATTTCAAATACAATTACAATTACGTACAAGTATGTATGTGTGTGCAGGACAGTGTATGCAATTACACTATATATTCACCGCTATCGCTGTCGGCAGATTGGCTTATACTGGATAATTGAATTTCCTCAGCGAAGTTTGGAAAAAACAGTTACTTTAACAATACATGAATGAAATTACCATCAGAGAGTAATAATCTTAATGGAAGGATGGTTAGTTAATGGTCTTATTTTTTCATTGACACACATCAAATATCCGTGAGTTATGTTATGCATTTGTTTATATTTGAATCGGTTTATATGTATAGGTGGATACATAGATTTCTTGTCGTGCCGACAGTTATAATTATGCCATACCCATATTTATTCGCCAACATTTTAATATCAGCAATTTACGCGCGTTGAAAACGAAAATAACATAATTCTATAAAAATGTATTAGCTTGATAAAAGAGACAGGTAATCACCATATTAAAATGTGCACACATGCATAAAGTAAAAAAAACATACGGTAGGTATAAGACTACAGATATGCCTACAAGTAATTAAAAATCTAATAAACATTCTAACGAGCAACACATTTTAATTTGTACAAGTATTACATGTTTTTGTAATGAAAAAGAAAAGATTTTAAACTCACCGAACACCGTGAAGCAGGAACATAGGAAAATCCATTTGAGCGAGATAGTCGATACAGCGCAGAAGGACCTTCCGGTGCTAGCGTTGCTGCGTCGAACAACAGTATCCGCTATGCTGAATGCTCTTACTTTCGCCATGAGTGTTGCTGAGCTCTGGATTAAACGAATGCAAAAATCTGTTTTGCAAGCAAACAATTAAAAAAAACTGTTTTTTTTTCTTTTCAAGGCGCGTTTGCCTTTGTTTTATTATTCGGTTGAAAATCGGGCTAAAACAGATTTTCTTCTGTGTGTTGACGATTCGTCTATTTTCGTTTTAACACAGTTTCCGTTCGTACTGGCCTTTATTTTGGTTCTGCATTACATTTTTCCAATTACACACCCATATATGTATATATATATATATGAATGTACATGTTAACAAACATAGTTAATGGATATGTAGATATATACAAGTATTTTAACAACAGAGGAGCAATTGCTTTAGTAAATAGTTTTGCTGCCTGAAGACCTTTGCAATTGTTTCTAACTCATTTATTTTTTATTTTGCAAAAGTGTTTCCTTCATTTCCTATTCATAATGATTGCTGTGATTAACATATGCATTAGCTTAGATATGCGTAGTTTATTTCGAAAAACTTACGAAGTAGTTGGAATAATCTGAAACAAAGAAATATTATTTTATTCGAATTAATAAATGCAATAGATTGTACTGTTTATTACTATAACTACAATACAAATATGAACGAAATGTTTCTAACAATTTAAGGTAACTAATTAACTGATTTCAAAATTTTTGTGGTCTTGGATCTTGTAAAAATTAAAAAAATACTCTGTTTTATATTACATTTACAAGAATAAGGTTAATTGGAACTATAGCCAAGAAAAGACGTTAACGTTGCACCGAAGCCATAATATCCTTCACAAATACAAAATCTCCTGACTAGAACTTGATTCCGATTTCGTGAATATACCTTGTCAATTAAAAAAGTTTTCATTCCAAGCACTTTATTCCGATCGTTCAGTTAGTATGGCAGCTATATGCTTGGGATTTCATTATTGCCTTAGACAATAATACATGCCAAATTTTGTAAAGATACCTCGTCAAATGAAAAAGTTTTCCCTGGAAACACTTGATTCTGATCGTTCAGCTCGTATGACAGCTATATGCTATAGTGGCGTTTCCGACAAATGAGCAATATCTTGCGGAGAAAATAACGTATACAAAATTTCAGTATATACAGGTGGACAGACAGATTGACCATTTATACATGTATTTTATAGGGTCTACGACGTTTCCTTCTGGGTGTTACAAAGTTCGTGGCAAGCTTAGTATACTTATTCTGGGTATAAAAAAGGAACTGCCGAAATTTAAACCCACTAACGAAAGCGCCGACAGTTTGAAGTTTATACTTTCACCGAAAGAATATCATTATCATTTTGTGAATTAATAATTTATTGGTAACTTACGCTGTCCATAAGCCCCTTGAAAGAAAAATTATAACGTCGCTTTAAAAGCTTTTCTGAGTTGGACGCTCTTTTAGCCACACTTCTGCAAATCCTTTCTCGCTGTTGGAATATGCATAGACATAACGTCACCTTGACCCAGCTAACTTCAAATAAATCAGACTTCATCTTCCCAAGGTAAGACTTCAACAGTCACTTTCGGTCGATGTTACCCTCTCGACGTGAATAGAGAAGAGGTTTAGTGGGAGAGGAGGTAACTACCACTATATATAGGGACGGGTCCAACATGGACTATGAAGTAGGAGCGGTTGTATACTCCAATGCTATTGACATCACTCTCTCTCTCTATCCGCCTCCCAAACTCAGCCACCAGCACCCGGAAGCACCAGATGTAGTGAAGGCCTATGGAGATCTATTCATTCACTACGGGTTATAACAGAGCCTTGTAAGCGCCATAGATTAATTCCAGCGGAGTCAACACATGTAGAAAGGCTGTAAGCTCACTGGTAGATAAACTACACTTGCCCAAATTTTGGGTACGAAAAAGTAAACGAGTAGGCCGAGCTAGTACCATGCCCGCTGGAAACGAAAGAGAGTTTTATATGCTTTTTAAATAAATAGTTCAGAGCAGATGGAAATCTATAACCAAAAACCTTAAAACGAAGCAGATATGGCTCAAGTATGACAAGACTAGAACTAAGGAGTTTTGTAATGTAATATTTCCACGAATAGTATATACAGACTTACAGCTACTACATAACGGACTACTGGCCTTTCGGAGAGCATCAATATTTGTCGCAACAGCAAGCTATAAGAGAATAAGGATACTGGCACCAAACCTTGAAATGGTCCTACGATGGTGAAATAAAAAGGTTCATCTAGTGATGATGAACATGTGGGCCAACCAAAATCCGTGATCACCGAAAATTCCATCGAAACTGTGCGTGAATTCATAAAAAATCAGCCGAAATCATCATTGAAATTCAAGGATATAGAATTGAACATCTCTAAAACATCGATTTATTGCATTTTGACCGAACATTTGGGCTTACAAAAGGTGTGTGCACGGTTTGTTCCGCACAAATTGACGGACGACCAAAAATTACTCAGAATTCAACGTTAGAAGTACGTCGTTAAAGAGGCAAAAAAAGGCCCGAACTTCCGTTACAAGATTGTGACTGGTAACGAAACGTGGTGTTTTCAATATGATCCCGAAACGAAACGCCAGAGTGGTGAATGAAGAATGAAGACGAAACCCAAAAAATCGCGCCTGGAGAAGTCAAAAGTGAAGACAATGCTGATTTGTTTATATGATTCCAAAGGTATTGTCCACAAAGAATTTGTTCCACCCAGCCAAAACGTTAATGAGGTATTCTACCTTGGAGTTTTGAAGCGTTTGGTAGCACGTATTCGACGTGTTCGGCCCGAATACCCGATCCGCTTTAATAGGCCGTACGGTAGGATATCCGCGTAAATTGCTGAAAAATTATAACTAAAAAACTACATGTGTTAAAAATCGTGTATACAAATAGAACAATGGCAACATTGGTGAAATGAGAGCAAAAGAGAACAACTGATTTCTGCGTTACAACTACGGGCATAACTTTTGACAAATTTGGTTTGATACGGGCGGTAAGTACGGAAGGGAGGAATGTCAGTGAATGTTTGTGCTATACAAGTAAGTAGCCAGTCGACATCCTTGGTGTATTATATGTTACAAACATATCAAGGCCAGTTGCCTAGGTACATTAGAGTATATTATAAATTTTGAAGTATGAATACGTTGGATATAAATAAAGAATATATCTTTACCGGATTTTGTTTATATTTACAAACGTTTCCAATCAAGTAATTTACCAAAACATACAACTTAAAAGAGGGTCAAAAAAATTGTAAAATATTTTTTAAGAATTACAATGCCTATAAATTCAACTCGCATAAAAAGAAAAAGTGATTTGTCTATAAAGTTTGCTGGCCCGTTGTAGTAAACTTTAAGACATTCTGATTGCGGTTGACGTGCTATGCTAATCTTCGGTACGGTCAATGGGCTAAGACTTCTCAAAATCAGTGATTTTGTATTATTCTAAATATTACGCTGTTAAATTAAAATCCAAAACCAGGCTTTACAAGATATCACTGTGAACAACTTTTAAGAATTTACAATGTCTATTAATGTCCTTAATCAATATCTACAATGGTAATAAGTGTTCGATTATCTATGCAAACAACTAAAATATGTATGAAGAGAAAAAAATCCAGGTCAAGCAGAGCAGAAGTAATGAACTTGAAAAATAATGAAATAATTAATTTAAGAAAAATGTAACACAAAGTAAGGCATATATTGTATATTCTTCTATAAGAAGTATAAAATATTTTTTATTCAATGTAATGTTTACTTATAGTATATATCTATGTTTACCCCTTAATAAGCGCTACCTTTTAGGTCTTTCACTATGTGAACTTCCGCAAATGTAATTTACGTGTATCAAAAGCACACCACATAAAAATAAATCCGTCAGGATTTCACCGTAACCCTTTGCATGTACTACAGTTTACTATCTCAATTAAAAGCGCCGAAATTACAGTCGGAAACATTTACAAATCGCTTGCACACAACCAAAGAAGTATTATATAATTCATAAAAAGAAGTAATTGAAGGCTTTTACTTCCTTCGCATATAATAACTGAATATTTAGTCGTACCATCTGTGAGAGTTTGGCAAATAACGGCGACAAATATTTATTCATACATAGAGTTTTGCTTGAGGCTTGAAGGATTTGGGTGCACGTGTTGGTTACACGCTTATCATAAATTCAATATTTTATATTGCTTTAGACTAAGAATAAACCAAGGGGGTACCCTGCTATTTTTCTATGCAAAACAAGGTCGATAACATAAAGGCAAACGAAAGGCGTTAAACGTGCATTTTCTCTAGTGTATGGTAAATGCGAGTGCGCAGTGGGCCTGGTGAAAAATCAATGAAAGAGAAATGTGAGTGAAATCGTAAATAATCTTTTACAGCTACAAGGAAGGCCAGTACAACTGAATTCTTTCCCAGGTAACAGTGCGGTGACTGAAGAAGGCACTTAGAAAAACATCTCAACTTGAAAGTGGTAATAAAATGTAAGTACTGCCATATTTTACACCTTTCGTGAAAATTCATAAATTCTACGGAAAATTGTGTTTTTAATAACACAATAAATTGTAAATATATCCTGTACTCTCTTGTAATATACAGTTTTATTTATCAGAAGTTTTTCTTTAACGAACATGTTATTTATTATTTTGTTAATTATGATTAAGAAAGAAACTAATTGCAATTACGTAGACTTCTAAGTGGACACGTATATATCAGTATATATATATATATTTTTTTTGTAAATATTGTACGTACATTTTTTCCAAAAGCTCTTCAAACCTCCATTAAAAGAGTTAAATGTTTGAAAAGTGTTATTCACATGAAGTATTCGATATGAAACTCATTCAATGTTCCTTTCGTATGTATTAGTAATTTAATAAAAGTGTTTCATTTTGTTCCCATTATGGTCAAATATAGTTAAAATCATATAAAGTTATGACACTTGGAGGAAAACTTTCACCTAAAAGCTATTTAAGTTATATTATTAAAAAGTGGAGAGATTTTATACTCTTGCAATATGTTGCTACAGAGTATAATAGTTTTGTTCACCAACGTTGTTTGTATCACCGAAAAAAAATCGAGTTAGATATGAGGTTATATATATATAAATGATCAGGATGACTAAATAAGTTGAAATCCAGGTGAGGTCTGTAACTTGAGTAAAACTTGAGATATCGTAATGAAACTCTGTACACGTGTTCCTTGGTACCATATAAAGTTTTGCATTTTATGGGCGTAATCGAAGCACTCGCACGCCACCAAAACGCCATTAATCGAAAACATTTAAAAAGCCATAACTAAGAACTAAATTAAGATATAAACCTATAATTTGGAACAGAGGATTGCAGTATCAAGGGCACCTGCGTGCTAAAATTTTTTTAAAGTGGGCGTGGCACCACCCACATTAAGGGGGAAATCCATATCTCGGGGCTTAATCGACCGATTTTTACCAAAAATGGTTCATCATATTATCCTGAATATCCTCTGTTACGTTGTGAAAGTGGGCGTAGTCGTTCTACAACCACGCTTACTACTCATATAACACAACCTTGAATTCAATATGATTTATTCACAAATAGTGCCTTCAAGGTATTTCATATTACGCCCAAAAATTTTCCAAATGAGACTATCACTTTTAGGGGCCCCAGGCGTATGGCTGAGTTTTTGCCGAAAATATCGTTCAATCTGTGAAATATAATAAAATATTGTAATAAATCTAAGGCAGGCCTTAAAATAAGTAAATATGATACCAAATTTGTTACCCACAAATCGATTTTATAATATTACAAACACCTGAAGACATTTAGCCGGCTTTGACCCTTTCAAGCTGCAAGAGCATGAAATATTCAGTTACGCTCGAACTTAGCCCTTTCTTACTTGTTCATTTTGTTTTTTTAATAAGCAATTTTTATAGACCTTTTTACTGAAAGTTCCGCAAGAATATTTGATTATAGTATTAAACCTCGGTAACAATATATGGAAGACTTCTGGGGAAATACACTACATGAGAAGATGTTGATGACGATGAGCATCCTGGAGGTGCGACCACGTCAACAAGCAAAGAAAACTTCGACACAGTGAAGATAATTGTGGGAAGTTGCAGAGGATGTTGGCATATCAATTGGCTCATGCCATTCAATTGTCTCGAGTGTATTGGAATGAATGGAAAGCGTTTTGCCACAATTGACGAGATCAAGTCACTTATCGAAGAAAGAGCTGATGGTCATACCGAAAATTGCATTTCAGAAGTGCTTCGAGGATTGGAAAAAGCGTTATATCCGAGGGGGATTACTTTGAAGGAGAAAAAATAGATGTTGATGAATAAATAAGTACTTTTAAATAAGAACCAAAATTCACCTTTTTCTTTGAACATATCCTCAGGGACAGCGACAGCTACTTAGAATAAATCAAACGCAACTATTAAGTCATATATGATCTAATACTTTTATTTTTATAACGGTTGCTCTGTATTTTCTAAATAACCAAAATGTATGGATAGGATTGAAAATTCTAAAATAATAAGGACGACGAAAAAATTTGTATCCGGATATCCTGTGTCCTTCCCTAGATAAAATTTTCCACAAACCAACAAACTTCTATTCGAAAGCGCATAGAAAGTTTTCTCATCAGTAAATGGTTTCATGTACATTTTCCACAGTTGATTAAAAGAAGCATTATTGGTGGTCACCTTCTACATATCGGTATTATAGATAGAAAGATTAATATCTCGTAAAACTAACCTAACTATTTTCGTAAACCTAACCGTTTAAAAGATATTAACATTTAAAAGGAAAACTTAAAAAGAAGAAATGAGAACAAAAAAAAAAACACAGACCATTTTTGTAGAGCAGTAAATTTAGTAAATAGAAGATTATGAGCGTTGCAATTTAAATGATGTTTTCTCATTGAGATACAATTCGTTCGTTTTTTTTTTTGAGCACCCTTATTTGTACGAAAATAGGACGACCAGCATAGTGACGCCAACTTTTGGTTTTGCACCTAACTTTCTTTACACTATTATAATAATGCGTTTTAGTACTATTAGAAAATGGATGATTTTTTTATACATATGTCATATATATATATACATACATATATGGCATATGTTATGTAAATATATCTCATCGTTTTATTTGGCTTCACCCAAGATAATACAAACAACTATGCATACTTTCTTCTAAAATTTGTTGAAATGGGTCGTGTCCTTCAAAGCCATAAATACGCCAATATGCAACCTCTTCCTATTAACTTGTATTTTAGTTTTTTTTTAAAGAACTTAGTTCAGAGTTATACGTACAGAAAAATATTAAAATATATCAATGTCTTCCTAGGGTACGTAAATGTAAGCTAACTTCCATTATGTAAATATTTATAGTACCAATCAATATACTTATGTATATTTTTCAAACCAAATAAGATACGTAAATGGGTGCAGTTGGTTCACTATAAACGAGTATTGACGTATTCTGTTACGTTGTTTCGTTGTAAAATAATTTTTGGAGGCTTTTTGAAGTATTTAACATCTTTGCTCGTAAAAAATTTATGAATATATTGGTAATTTTTTACTTATTAAAAAGTTTTAACTGCTTCGTTCGATCTCCGTCTCGAGTAATATTATGAAAATTGTTTCTTATGCAGGTATTACCATATCAGGCATTGATACCCATCCGGAGATCCGATATTTTTGGCTTATAAAACCTTCATATCAATATATTTTAATAGTTTCGTAGGTGCTCCATTGGCCAAAAATGCGCACATCACATATGGGGGCCATAAGCACGGACAAAACTTGAAATAAATGTAATCACAAATTACTAAGATTTATTAAATATATTTCCAAACTGAAGCAAGTATTGTGGAAATAGTGCGCCTCACCCTCGTTATGCTATATATTACACATTATTACCAGAAAATAAATCCATTTCTTTCTTCTATAATATATCTATAGTAGAACTCACCTAGAGAGCAAGTTGTTGTTGTTGTTAACATTTATTAAAGGTGAAGTCATTAAAAAATAGTCATTTTACTCTCTTTCTCAAAAGGCAAAGTGTAAAAGTCAGGAAATTGTTCGCAAATACTTACTTTAAATTTAATGCTGAATCCTTTGAACTAATTGCTGCCGCACATCACACACGCGCATAGACGTAATGGCGCACAGCAACACCGCTCAATAAGCCGTTTCCGTGTGCTACTCACAGCATAAAATCGTGCCAACCCACGTACGTAAATGGTAAGTACTAAACTCGTGGCACGCACTTGTTGTTAACTAAACACGTACACACGCGCACAAACACAGCCGCGAACGCAAAGCGACAACAATCTGCAATTCGAAGCAACAATTCATAAACGAGCGCACGATAACCGCATACGCAGGCACTTCGATAGTAAGCTGGGACAGTTAGACGAGTTAGCTAGCTAACTGACTGGCTAGCAAACTAACTGCGTGAAATGAGTGTTAGTTGTGCGGTATTAAACCGCTATCGCTGCCGGCACAGACGCCATCAACAATGCCAACGAGCACGACGTACGCGCATCAACCGCAATTGGAACGACCGTCAGCGTTAACGTCAACGCTATCTCCGTTGGAGTTGGCTTAGCCGGAGCCGCCGCCGCCATTACTACAAAGCAATAACAAATTATTTGTTGTCACGCACTTAGCTTTACGAGCGTTGTTTTTGTTATTTTTGCCTTCACTATTTTCATTCATAATTTATACGTTTAAATCTGTCGGGGCCGGCACTTTTCTAACTAAGCTAAGTGAATAAGCCCACACTGGCCAACTTATTGTTGCAGGTAAGTAAGTACTATTTACTTATAATCACCAATTGCATACTTTTGCACTCCTTTAAACAACACATGCACATTTGTACAAAGGTAATTTCAGATGCCACAAACGTACATAAGATAAATTTCACATGACTGCAACTTTTGAGTTTTACTTTTATCCGCGTTTACTTGCTTCTTTGAATGAAGATTTATGTGTTTACATCAAGCGACCGCTAAATCATCCCAGCGAAAGTTAAATGTAATAAAATTATTACACTTCGCTCCGCAGTCGTAAACGGTACCCTTTATTCGCCTCTGTCTTATATTTAAATGTCCTCGTTGACATTTATCGTATTCGCGTTTGCTTAGTTTATACCGTTACTTCGTGTAAACCGTAAACTTAACCACACAGGACTGACAGCTGTAATGAACTAAAAGCTTTGCTCTCCATTCGTAAAATTTCACCTGCGACTGTCTGCCACACACTCAACGAATTGAGCCGAATACAAATAAGGACACGACTCGTGCACAACGAACGACACGATTCGATGGTAGTATGAAATGCGTTCAGTCTACATCGGCTGTACTTCGAGGCAACGTACTATTTCAGCATTCGTGTTCTCTGCATATCGAGGCGCACATATGAAATAGCTTTAATTTTCTCTCATTTACAAAGCTTTAGTGTCCTTCGCTAAACTCCAATCGAAATATGAGCCACTGCGCCTTTTGTCCGCAAATCGTTTGCATTTTAGATGCAGCGAACCTGAAGAAGCTGCTTTTAGAAAAGTTCAAAGTTTGCCGGCATCGTGAGAGCTGAGACAATATTCCAGAGAGAAACGTGTATTTTTGCCATGAAAGGATTTCCAAGTGAAAACTAACATTGCCATAACAGTTTTCTTAACATTTGAAAATATAATTACAGCGCTTGAGTTTTGCACAATAATATAGGGAAATTTTAAACAAAAATTAAAATTTTGCTGCTCCTTGATAAATGCAGTAAATATGGTAACTGTTAAATGATATCAGAGGGTTTGCTGACTTAAATATTATTTTGGGTAAATAAACACTTTGGGTGAAACTATGCGCAGTATATCAAACTTTTATAATTATTTTAGGAGGCTAGGAACACTTATTCGTGAGTGAGAATCATCTTAAATAATTACGAATTATGTCCGCGGATTTAGCTATATTATAAAGATAAGGATTTACCATTATTAACGCGCCGTATATTCTCTTGCAAGGCAGCAATCGTCTCGGGTGGACAAGTCCAACGGCGTTAAAACGCACGATTTTGGAGGCCCACGACGCGAAATATTGCGCTCTCAATTGGATCTGTGGCCTTCACATTTTGGCCTCATTCACCGATCGTGCGACTCGCTTAATGGCCGTTCGGCTTCAATTCTTGCACGAGTTGGATTTTGTAAGCCAGATCACCAAGAACCTTCCACAAAACATTCCATAAAATGGATGACCACACCTAAAATTATTACGCACGATGACGAATGAACTTATTAGGGTCTTCTTCGATACTGTGCTTAATAGCAGCAATAACGTCTTTAGACGAACCAAACCAGAAACCGCTATAGAAAATTTGTAAAGTGTTTAAAGAGCAAATATTTTTTTGAAGACCAATTTTGGTAAACTATTCAGTTAGGAACATTTCTAAATACCTTATGTATATACTGTAGGCAACTACTCTTTATCAGTTAATTATAATAAGGGTCGATATTATTAGATAATATGCACAAAATGGAAGATTCAATTTTTGCAGTAAGTAGTCGATATTCACTCGTAAAGTACAATTTGGTATTGTATATACTCACGCAATTATAGATACGTAAGAGGGGTGTAAATGAACGTCATTTGCGGTTACTTCTGAATGTTTTCGGAGGCTTTTATTTTTTAAAGGTGTCTTTCTATCACCTTAACTGTAGTAGTAATTTCAGAATGAGCATTCCGTCATCTGCTTAAAATTCTTAACCTCAGTGTTTTAAACCTACTGGGTACTAGTATTCTGATTATGGCGGAGCGTAAGTGGTTCATCAATTCAGTAGCTCGTATTGAATGGATTTTGAGAAAACTTCTTTAACGATATGTATCAAATCCACTTAAAGCATCTATATTCATGCGGGAAATTTTTTAATTCGAACCGCTATAGCGTATAGGTGCCGTACAAACTAATAGATCACAATCAAGTTCTTGTATGCAAACTTTTTTATTTGTGAGATGCAGCCGAAATTACCGTTTGTTCTTGTTTTAAGCTGAGGTTAATATAACATAAATAAATTATTTAAGAATATTTTTCACCTAAGATTTTTAACAGTTGATATATATAACATGAATAAACTTATATTGTTGGCTTTCAATAAAATTTTTGAGAACTCTACTTCAGAAGTAATATTAATAATAAATAATAAAAATATGTTCGGGCTAAGCTGACAACCTTGTATAAGGAAGAGATATCCACTGAATCGTATAAATTGTCTTGAAATATAACTTTTTATGTTTTTTTACTGATTTTGAAACCAAAAACAAATAACATCGATAGACATACATCATCTCACCTCTCTCCATAAATAAATATGGTATACACCTGCACTGGCTGCACTAAGCAATAAAAAATTTGAATGAGACTTTATGTCAAATTTAAATTTTTATAGTGTATGTCTTCTTTGGTATCCCTCATATTGAATATATAAATATAGCGTGTAGTTATGTTTTCTGTTATAATAACAGGCCCATGAGTAGTTGCTAATAAAGTTTAAAATATTGTTGTTTACGGAATCTATCTGAACACCCATATAATCAAAATGTAAATAATCATTTAACAATAATTTGGATATTTTTAGCATGAAGTGCGATTTATGAAACTAACTGTATATATTTCAAATATATTATAATATCGGCTCCACCAGAACTTATTACTTCTTTTTTACTATTGCTTATTATAAGCTTATTGAAACTTAACCTTAAAGCATAATTAAATTTTATTTTTTTCTCAGTACCGTTAGATTCATGTACTACTTAACCTATACGAATATAATAATCTGGTTATAATAAACTGTTGGAAATTGTGTTCTTTTCATTTACAAATCTATGACAAAGTCACCACAATCAGGGGCCACCATCATTAGCTCTTAAGTTGTTTTACACGTACAAATTGATATAATAGAAATCTCATAGCTCGTTAACGAATTTCATCTGTATTCACTTTTCTTCTTCTCTGCTGACAAGCCACCACATCCTTCTACTCGTTTCGCTTATTTGCTTAAGCATATTATTCATTCTACTTTACACATACAAAAGTTTAACCAAATTTCGTAACAAATTTCCAAAGGAGCACACTTTTACCTAACTGAATTGCGAGGGTTCGATATTTGAATTGAATTGAAATCGACACTGGAAATAAAGTCTCTTGTGACAATTAAAATAAAATAGTATTATTTTCGTGGCATAATAATCTTTTAATTATTTTTAAAACATAATTTAAATAAGTTTATGTTTATAATTATATAATTTATAATTTTGATATTTTTTTCTTTTATGTTATTTTATTTTATGTTATTTTTCTTTCCTTTATGCTTCACGGCGTGTATTTTTTTGAGTGCATATTCTGACTTCATTTGTCTGTATGCCCAGCACAGTTACTTAATTCTCTTTTGTTTTAAGGCGAATTGTTGTGCCAACGTTCGATAAGGATGAAGTTCCTTTTGTCTACTATGGCACTTTTGTCTGCTTATTCACTTTCTTCTCCTTACGCTCTTTATGCTCTTGTTCGTTCATTCATGCATTCTTTCATCTCATTCATGTGAATGTGCCATGCGTGTAATCATTGAAATTGTAAGAGTTGCCAAGAAAATAGTCATAATATTACTTGTGCGTGTGTGCGTGTGCCAATACACACATTGGCAAAGTTTTGTAAAGTTTTTGTTTTCTTACTCGTTTTCTAATTGTTGCTACTTTTGGGGTTTCTGAAGTGACACTCAATGGGTGCAAATTTGCCAGCACACACATGCAGCCACTTACAAGAATGACACAAGAATACGTAGCATGAGCACATGCTCAATCAAATACACAGTTATTTTTATATACTTGAGTCTTGATAGTATTTGTTCTATGTATTCGTGTGCTTATTTACTTTAGAAATTTTGCATCATCAACAAAATTGTTGCTGATTAGATGTTTCTATTGAAATTTGGCAGGGTAAATGTGTGTATGTCAGTTCAGTAAGCATATAGAGTTATATATGCATATATAATATATACATATACAAATATAAATGTACACAACTACACATAAATACGTTTCAGGCCTCAAATTAATATGACATACTTATTTGCATATATTAAATATAAGCAAACACAGGTGAAAACACAGCTCCTTTCGTCAATATAACAAACCTTTATTCAACTTTCGCTGTAATGTAAATTTACATACTAACATTCCCATATGTATGAGTATTATCAATTCAATAACGCCAATGAAAGGGTTAAAGTTAAATATATTTTCAAGTTCACCTGACGCACGTGTCGTATGAGTGACCTTCAATTTAAAGCATTTCGCTACAAATACACACATGTAGATTCAGATATTGTTGCATGCAAAAGTATGCCGTTTATAATTGTGTACATTAATACACGCTTTATTTGTCTAGACAATTTCGTTCAATTATTAAATGAACTTAAAGCAGTCAATTATACTTATTTTACAATTCGTTGATTCTGCGTCATTAAATGTCTATGTATATTGACTATTTCAGTAAACTGTGCAGTTCGATCAATACTTTTTAGCTAGAGTATTGACTCAAAGTGAATAAATATTAACACTTAATTAAATAAGGTAGATAAAAATCGATAACAAATAGTATATAAACTTATATAATTAGTTACCTAGCCGCCCGACAGTTTGGTTCAGCAAAAATTATGCTATTTTCGTACGGATAATTTTTAAGTGTGGATAAATGTACCTAAAATCAAAATTAGGGTAGAAATAATTTTTGGTTTAGGTGCAAATTAAAAAAAAAAACAGTTTTCTATTTTAATTTCGTACAAAACTGTTCTGCTTGATATTTGGATAGCTTTGCTAAATATAATACTAATACGTTTCTTAACCAATTTTCATAATTTTTGGTCCTCTTCATGTCATGTATGAGTATGTATGTAAATCTATATTAAAGCGAAAGTTTAGTGAAGGTCTGGTTATACTGATGAAAGGAGCTGTGTTTTCACCTGCGTTTACTTATATAGTTTGATCTTGTTTATTCCTGTTAGATTGGCACACATTTACGCTGCCAAATTGCAATAGAAACATCTAATTAGCAAACAGTTGTTCAGCATTCAAAACTTTTAAAGTAAATAATCACCGAATACATTGAACAAATACTATATATATTATACAAAAATAGCTGTGTATAGATATTTGCAAAATTTTGTA